CATCCGTAAGGCTAAAAACCCTTACAATACTGAGGCCACTGGATGGACCCTCCTCCGCTGTTCGGCCAAGTTCCACGTACGGCCATAACGGCAGCGACGAGACACACCAGCGAAAGCCGTGGGTGCCGTGGAGCGCCATCTACTTTTGTTATATCACGACGACATTGAATATTTTATTTATTTATTTGTTTATTTATTTTATTTTATTTTTTATTTTTTGTTTGAGAAGTTCCTCCTCCCCCTCCTATAACGGATTTTTTTTTTATCCGTTGACGAAACTTCATCTAAGTCATGTTGAAGCCTTATTTACCTGGTACACTGCAGTTGTAAGTCTCGGATGAATAGTTTCAATTTTAACTTGTATTCCTATTTAATATCTGTTCTGTTTCATTTCTTATCGCATTTTATCTTCTGCTCTTTAATTTCTAAGCTCTGGAATGGAATGTTCAAGATTTCGTAGATTGTAGATTTTACAGTCCAAATGTATCTTTTCGTGAATTAGATGATAAAGCATTAAACTGACTAATTCATAAAGTTTAGTATTATGTTATTCACGATGATATTATGATGGATTCCTTATTCACAATTAAACACAATAATGTATGTTTACAGAAAGAGTCTATAACCGGATGATCGAATATTCATATTATACTATACAGGCTTTACAGATACCTATATACGTTACTGGGTTTTTTGATAGTTGTATTTTTCTCGGATATTCTTATTATTATTTAATTTAATTGAAATAGCTATGGCCTGCAGTATAACATGTGCTTGGAACTATACGATATTCACACTATATGTTATGGTTCTTACATATCTGCATATTCTTTAGGATATATGATTTTCTTTTCCTCACCAAAAATGTTTAAACTACCATACTAAAATGCTAGGTAATTTTGTGTGTATATGTATGTGTTTGTGTGTGTTTTCATTTTAGGTTTTTACTAACTTCATGTAGACACAAGCGAGGTTACATCTGAGTTCACCCATTCCATTTCTTAGGGTAAGAGTGTGTGGAACATGTGTGTTGAAGACCATACCCTTCCGAGGGCATGTTGGCCCATATAATTTATTTTAAACCTCGTGGCATTTCCATGAGAAAGTGTTTACTCTCTATCATTTTCCAATATAGCAGCGGCTTCGTCGGCCAAGCCCAGTGGACGCGCGGCGTTTGGTCAACGTCTCAGCGTGGTGACAGGAAATTTTCTGGTGGTAAACTGGCGTTTGGGGGGTGATGGATCACGGGACAGGGGCTGGAGGCCAGATAAACGGGAGGGGAATCTTCTCTCTCTCTCTCTCTCTCTCTCTCTCTCTCTCTCTCTCTCTCTCTCTCTCTCTCTCTCTCTCTCTCTCTCTCTCTCTCTCTCTCTCTCTCTCTCTCTCCTCTCCCTCCCTCCCTCTCCCTCTCTCTCTCTCTCTCCTCTCTCTCTCTCTCTCTCTCTCCCTCTCCATCTCCCTATCCCTCCCCCTCCCTCTCCCTTCCTTCCTCCCTCCCTCCCTCCCTCCCTCCCTCCCTCCCTCCCTCCCTCCCTCCCTCCCTCCCTCCCTCCCTCCCACCCACCCTCCCACCTTCCTCTCTCTCTCCCTCCCTCCTTCCCTCCCTCCTTCCCTCCCTCCCTCCCTCCCTCCCTCTCCCTCTAATCCTCTCTCCATCTCTCCCTCTCCATCTCCCTGTCCCTCCCTCTCACCTCCCTTCCTCCCACCCTCCCACCTTCCTCTCTCCCTCCCTCCTTCCCTCCCTCCCTCCCTCCCTCCCTCCCTCCCTCCCTCCCTCTCCCTCTAATCCTCTCTCCCTCTCTCCCTCTCCATCTCCCTCTCACCTCCCTTCCTCCCTCCCTCCCACCCTCCTCTCTCTCTCTCTCTCTCTCTCTCTCTCTCTCTCTCTCTCTCTCTCTCTCTCTCTCTCTCTCTCTCTCTCTCTCTCTCTCTCTCTTTCTCTCTCCCTCTCTCTCCCCTCCCTTCCTTCCTTCCTGCCACCCCCCCCTCTCTCTCTCTCTCTCTTTCGCTTTTTCATTTCTACTGACTTTTTTGTGTGGGTGGGTGGGAGTGGGGGGCAATTGTGCTCCCTTGTGAGAGGATTCGCGCGTAAATTACATAAACTTCTAGTTGTGTACTCTAATGAAATCTGTCGCCGTGTGCATTCCTGTACTGTTGCTCGCGAGCTTCTTGGAGATAGTGAGTCGTCGGGATCAGTGGAATGACTGCAGTAGCAAGTGAATAATATATCTCCGTGAACATCCTCAGCTAAACTTATGTCGACGTTCGTTGGGGGGTGGGGGGGGGGAAGGAGAGGAAAAAATTCTGCTGCATTTTTCGTGCAGGTCCAAACTTGATTGGCAGAAGTTTTATAAGCTGGCGCAACCCGAGGGGATTCTTGGCCGAGTCTGTGGCGAGCTGGACCGCGACGCTTTATTTGTTGATCTGTCTCTGCAGTGAGCCTCGCACTAAACACCGCCATGCTGTGGAGGGAAGCGGCGAGGCTGCGTTGGCTGGGGTT